AGACCACATCTTAGGCCACAGAGCAATCCTCAACAAGATCCAAAACGCTGAGATAATACAAAGTATCTTCTCTGACCACAATGCCATCAAGGTAGAAATTAACAACAGGAAGAGCAAGGGAGAAAAATCAAATACATGGAAACTGAATAACACCCTGCTTACAAACCACTGGGTGATAGAAGAAATCAGAGATGGAATCAAAAATTCCTAGAATCAAACAAGAATGAAAACACATCACACCAAAATCTTTAGGACACAGGAAAGGCAGTTCTCAGAGGACAATTTATAGCAAAAGATGCACACGTCAAAAAAGAAGAAAGGGACAAAATCAAAACATTAACTACACAGCTTGAACAAAAAGAAAAAGAACAGCAGACCCTGTGGAAGTGAAAGATAAGACAGGGAGTCCCCCAGTGGGAGAGATGTCTAACCTGGGCCTAACCTGAGAGACATGGATTCTTCTCCAGGAAGGTATGGAGGGAAGACACACAGGAGTTCCAATGAGGGGAAGCAAAACTCATTTTGGGAGGAGGATTTCTGGGCATACACATTGACTCTCCCAAACTTCCCATGACCTTCCCTTTGGGGGGCCCCTCTCCCTCTGGCTAAAAAACTGCACACCCTCAGATGTACTTTCCACTGACACCAGAGAGACAGTCAGGAAGGCATTTGGAAAAGTGACAGGAAACAACCAAAGATTCACAGAAAATGAGTCAATGGAAATGGCAGTCAAGTACTTTTTGATTCACTGGAAGCTGGAGGGTACGCAGCTGTATAGGGTGAGCACGAGAATGAAATGAGCCAGAGATCCACGGGTAGAAGATAAGAAGCCCTCAATTCACAATTAAAGAATCTCAACTCCAGATTCCAGGGGATCTAGAAAGAACCTCTTCCTCTCGTCAGGTGTCTCTTCAATACTAGAAGGTGGGGGGGATATACTTAGCTTTATTATAACCTGCATTTCATTGTTTTCTATTTTTAAGTTAATAACATAGGATTTTTTCAATTTATTTATCTTTAAAATTACCTAGTGTAAAGTTTTCTGCTTACAGTTAATACAAGGGATTTTAAAACAAAATTCTATATTTTTAAATGAGTAAATATAGCAAAAGTATAATTTTCATAAAATTAAAAACATGACTCTCAGACAAGTGTAGAAATCAAAGAATTGATTCAATCAGTGAAAGAACTGGTACAATTGTAAAACTGGTTCAAGGCGTATTTTGAGGGACCAGGTATTTATTGTCCACCAGGAAAGACCATTTGAACTAAGCATGCTGAATTAAAGATGAAAGTGATTAATGTCATATGGGGTAGTAAAACTTCCTATTTCCAGGTTTTAAATCATTTCTCTTAACAATCTAAAGAAAAGATTTAATGGAAAATAGACAAGATACGGTGAAAGAGAAGGTAAAAACCATGAAACAACCACAAAAGGGGAATACTGTTCAAACAAGAACCTAGACAGCAAGCATTCTGTGTGCTCAGTGAAATGGATCCACGAGTCGTGGGGTTAGTTTGCATGCCCACACTTGAGGTGGTGAAATTTGAGAGGCTTCCCAGAACCTGAGCCTGAAGAGAGAAGTCAAGAGGCTTTTGAAGACATAATATGAGCTCTGCTCTAGCACAAAGATAAATGGAAGATGAATACTCACAAGGTCTACACCACGGAATATAGATGGCAATGAAAGCAGTCTCGGAAATAGCTCTGTGTATATTTAAATGCTTTCCTCAACAACAATAATAATAAAAAGCTCAGAAAAGCATTTTGCAGCTTTAATAAATATAAGCTCCAAGAAAAACTCATTGCAAACTGTACACATAGGTAATGTGTAAGTCAGACAAAGCTCTACCATTAGTGATGACTTTAATCA